CGGTTGATAAATAGAAGAAAGAAAAATTGTATAATCATCGTGAATCAGTGTGTTATATATCAATCACAAGTATCATCGTTATAGACTAGAGATTGGAATATTATTATTGTTATAATTTCAGAAGCAACTTATTAAGCAACTGTCAATCGCGACGGAACTCACGAATATTAAGAACGACTTAAACAAAATTTATAATACCCACCTATGTATTATGTTTCGCGTTTGATATCCATTTAGTAACTATATTTTTTCCGAACAAATTATTATTTATACAATTAATAATAGGAATATTAACTAATATTATCGTGATAATTAATAACGGGAAATACGAAATTGATTCTTGGATCAAAGATAATGTGTCAGGCATTGGTTGTGTTCACCAACCTAACCTAACCTAATCTAAGGAATTATATAAATATCTGCATTATCACGGGCGTAAGTAATCTTCAACTTAAGACTTAAACACCCCCTAATAATTTATACACAAAATAAAGTATTTATTTTATTAGCGAAGAATTACATATCATTTTGAATTTTCTGATAAAGAAATAGAAGGACATTATTATAAAATGTATTATTCTGCTATGTGCAATAGTATAAAAAATATATTACAATACATATACCTTAACAAATAGTAGTTATATACTTGGTGTTTTTAATTTTAAATACACCTCACTTGTTGGAAAAGGTTGACGGTCCCTGGTGTAGGGGAATTATATGGGTATAAAGTGACCACTTTAATGTTAGATGGTTTATGTGCACTTTTTTAATCAAAAAAATTAAGACTGAATATTGTATCAATATCAACAATAACCACTATGAAAGGATGTCAGCGCTCTATTTGTTTTATCTCTATAATCCACGTGCAACATTTTATAAAGTTTACGTTCAGCAATATGTATTTCATGTTGTTGTGAGATGTGATGCAAAGTAATTTGCAAATTTTCGTAATTTTAATGAATTTTTTCAAATGATTATGTATCATATCCTTTGTGAGAATGTGGGGTTTTTTACACCCCACAAACCACCCACGGTTCCAAGGGGCATTGGAACCATGACCTGCCAGCCATACCGCGTGGTAAGTCGTGAGACTTACGTCGGTAGAACTGATAGGTTTTGATACACGCATCGACAAATGAATGTCGAAGATTTATAATATAATGACATAGGTTACCCTGAATAAATAATTTAAAATATGGCTTGGATTACGGTAACAAAGAATAATATATATTTTAACATAACACATTTAAATAATAAAGATTTCATTTTAAAGAATAWTAATTAGCATTTTGGCAATAAGATACAAAATAATACTTTTAGGCAAATAATAATAATTGCAACATAATACTACAAGTTGATTTAAATAATATTTAATAGTTTTACAGTAATGGTTTTGGCAATAATATAATATAATATGGGGCACAATGCACATGGCAGGTAGACAAATAATAAGAATAATATTTGGAAAATAATAAAAGAATAACATTCGCAGTGATGCTAAGCAATAATACGTCAGGATGTGTCTTTCGATCACATCCGACTAATAATATAATAATAAAAATTACGCAGCTCCTGCCAGGTTTGCGTCAGAGCAAGACGCTCTAAGCATGTGAATATTATAAAATATGGAGCGCGAATATTAATAATAATATTAAGCTTTTTTCAATATTAATAATACTTTTAAATAATAGACGTTTGCGAATATTGCAATTGAGGGAAATGAGAGGGAAAAAGGGAATTAAATAATAAATACAATACGTGGTCACATGGTTGTCGTATACAGTACGCAAGCCGGCGTCTTCSGCCACTAGGCCCCTGGCGGTGTCTTAGCCCATCATGGCAGTTGAAGTACTAGGTTGAATAATCATAATATAAGTGATATCGGTCGACGGTGCCAAGTGGCTGGATCACGGAAATTCGGTGCTTCGGAGCGGAGAAAAAAACGGCGACTCCGGTCTTTTGGCTCGGCTTATTGCTCTGTGTGCGGGAAGGGGGACTTTTTTATACAATATAATATAATTATTGGGTCACAGGTTGCACTGTCTTTGCCGCTGGCGGCACAGCCGTCTCGACCGACAGTGCAAGTCCGGGCACAGCTATTGTTGCGGGGACTGAACCTTGCGGAGGGGAAGAGGTGGGGTGTACAGGTGACATAACCTGTGTAGTCCAGCAGTGAACCCTTTCAACTGAACAGATACAACATTTCATCACAAACAAAATCTAGCGAAAACCGAAGTAAAGTATTCTTCACACCAAATCGCTATGCTTCACTCTCCGAGGACGACGCTTTTGATCAAAGGTGTTTAGCCCTCCTTCTATCGCAATACCATCCAAAGGTCATTGTAACACACCACCCAGCCACCTGGAATCCTCTCCAAGTAAAAATTTTTATTTGGCACCTCCCTTTTATTTAAGCRGTGGCTATTAATTCAACACGCTCAAGAAACCTCTTCTTGACCTTGTCATTCCTTTGGGTATTAATTTAAAAAAAAAACCGGAAAGCATCTAATTATCCGCACTGACGGAGCCACCAATTATAATTTAGTTTATAAATACCTTACCGCTAATGATAAGATTAATTTCCACACTTATCTGCCTAATGACATGAAACCATATGCCATATTTATCAGGCACCTCCACCCGTCCACTGCTGTGGAAGACATACAAGCCAGCCTAATTGATATGATCTACGAAGTTATTCGGGTTTCTAATATTCTACATCGTATCACTAAAAGACCGCTGCCACTTTTTCGTATTGATTTAAAAGCTGCTGAAAATAATATCGATATTCTCAAATTACATCTGCTTCTTCACACCAGAATCAAAATAGAGCTGCCCAAGAAAAAACGCTCCCCTCCACAATGCCATGATTGTCAAGCTTATTATCACCCTAGTAATTTTASCCACCAGTCCCCACGTTGCGTCAAATGTGAAGATAATCACTGCACGGTCGATTGTACCAAATCACCGTCAGAACCCGACAAGTGTGCTTTATGCTCGGGTCCAAACACAGCCTCATACAAAGGATGTCCCATGTTTAAAAAACTAAGTGAAAACCGCAAAAAATCTCAATTGCTCAAACCTTATCATGACGATATCACGATCCGACGCTCAATCACACCACACCGGCTGTAAACAAATCAACCTCCAGCTCCAACCTGAAACAAAAACATCCATACGCCAATATTACAGCCAACACTTCACCCCCAATAGTTACGCCAGAAAGTTTGATCTCCAAATTTCTCGAGGACTTAAAGCCACAATCAACCCTTTATTACTTTTATTAACTACAGTTGTCAATCATCTACTCCCATCTTCTCTTCCTATATTTTCTCCTTAAAATTATGTCGATATATTATATTATATGATATACATTTTTGTTACAATTGTAATTGTTAAGATTTTTTTTATTTTAATGTTTTTGTATCGAAACGACCCCAAGGTCTTCATCGACGTCTTTTCACTTTAGGAGGGGTAGAGTGCATGTAGCTCTTGTACCCTTCTCTAAGAAGATAATATAAACGTGTGTGGACATCACTCCCAGTGGAGTGGGTCCGGTGGGGGGCAGTATAGGCAACCAAAACTACGGCAGGGGAGAGACTACAGTAAACTCTGCAGAATATTTTTTGCACTGAGCCGGGTTCCAACTAGTGACTGCGCGCATCGTGACCAACTTGTGTGATCACTGCACCTCACTGCCCCTTTGTTAAGATATCATAATTCATAAATTTAATTGTAAACATATATGTAAATGTTGTAATAAATTATTGTAAAACCACAAAGTTTCAATTAATAAAAATAAATAAATAAATAAATACAAATAAAAGTATTCAGAATACTTTTATGAATACTTTTTTTAAAAATTGAAATAGTTTTTTTAAATAGTTTTATTTGAATAGATTTCTTCGAAGACTACAAGATTTTTAGTATGTAAGTATGTTAGTTAACGTTATGTGACTGCCGWAGCACTTCGCGTGACGCGATGTCCTTATAAAAATCCTGGTCAAAACTTGTCCCTAATTAAGGGATTGAGTCATAATTCACAAACTGATAAGTAGGTGACTATAAACATTACGTTTATAATATAATGTAATAAATATTGTCTGATGACTAGAAAGCCTTACTGGCTACTGGCAAAGTTGAGAGTCCGAACATAATATAAAATAATAAATGTAATAACTATAGGTAAGTAATGGCGGTGGAAGATAATGGATATAATAGAATACATTTGGGGGCTAGCTTTAGTTTACTGTRTACTGTACTTGGTGATTTGATTTGTAAAGGGTTTTACGTCGAGGCATACAAACCCTAATTTCTGCGGTATCTACTGACTAGGCATAGCARATTTACACACAAACACACCTACCCAAACCACAAAACTTTGGGCAGCTATATCTCACTAACGGATTAACGAAAAATTAAAATTTTAACGTGAAAATTCATAAAAAAATATTAGTTTATACATTTTAGATTCTGAGTGGAGCGATGAATGTATTGATTTTACCATGATGTGTGTGTGTTTTTTTTTTGTGTCTGTCGTCTCGTTTTGGGGCAGTAAAAGTGCTTCGATTTTTGACTTCAGTACGTTATTCGAGGAGAAAGTGAATCTAGTTAGTACTTTGGTGGTCAAAAGTGTTCTTAATACTTTTCTAAATAATCGAGAAAAACAATCTAAAAATTGAGGGAAAAACGGGAAATTTTACGCACACTCATTTTTCGACAAAATCGATTTTGGTTTTTGATGTAATTTTTAAACAAATGACCATAGATACATGAAATTTTCACCGTATGTTTATATAAGTATATTCTATCCACCGTGCAATTTTCAAAAATTTTCGATTTAAGTTAAACTATTCATAGGCATTTGAAATTTTCGATCATTATTAGTTTTTTTTWAAATTAATATTGATAAAAATGTATTTGTACGGCAGAAAAGCTTAAATCATCTTCRTGAGCTGACTACCGAGTTTCAGACAGACCTTTTAACGTAACTTTTGCATTCAACATTTCCAAACGTTGAGTAGATGCCGTAAAAAAACTGCTTGTAACAGCTCAAAAAAATGACAGGCTTTTTCACGACAATTTGATGCACAATTACCAACCAAATTTAGAGAGTGTGCAACACATGGAGAATACTCTACTAGTGGATTAACCTCCTTGATTCTTGCATGTAAACCTGAGTAAGCTTCTAACATGTAACTTGCATTATTATAAGATTGTCCTCTCAAGTTCGTTACATCAACATTATACAATGGAAGAATGGTTAATATACTATCAGCCAATTGTTCAGATTTATGCCCAGTATTCTCTGAAAAACACATGAACCGCTCTTTATGATACCCGTCTAAAACATACCTTATTATAAAAAAATACTTTGCTGTTTGGACTTCTTTTAGAATATTTTCCAATACTTTGTTTTTCATTAAAGATATAAATTATGTATAGAATGATAAGTATGATATTGACTCTTTTCCTTTATTAGCATGTTTAGAAATATGTGATGCTAAAAATGGATCAAATTKTGCTATTAATTCCATTGACATTAATGAATAAGTTAAATTTAAATTAATCGTATACGAAAAACGATTCCGAGAAAAGACGATCTGTCAGCATATATTATTACTAAGTATATTTTAAGTATAATTTATAACATCACTATTAATGTAATTAATTTTACCACTTAATACAGTAGATAATTTTGTTTTTTTGTTTTGGTTACTACATATTTTGAGAAACCTTGTTCTAAATATCCAATCATTAGCAATTTCTACATACATTGAACATTTTATAAATTTTGATTGCAAAATAATTGATAAGTTTTTGTGATTTTGATGGAGTTTGGTTAATGTGTCAAAATTTGAAGTTTTAATACTTATAATCGCACATACGTATTTTGAATTATTTTAGCTACTATAGTTACAACTTATGCAGAAATTTGTATCATGTTTTTGAGATTTTTGTTACACCTAGCTTACATTTTTTTTTATCAATATTTAACAATATAAAAAAATATCAAATATCAAATATCTCAAAACGATTCAAAATATTTTGAAAATAAACTATCATGTTAAAAATTATACCATGTACAGAAAATGCATACCTATAAAAAAATTTGTTAAAATTGAAAGTATCAATGAGAAATAATTAATTTAAGGGTGGATAACAATTAATATCAAAAATATTTGAACTTCAGATGCTTATACAAATCTGARTGCTTCAAGTATATATATATTCAAAATAATTGGGTTTTAAGAGATATTTTTCTATTTTTTAAGTGCTCTGTTTCTATTCACTTGCTAGATTGGGCGAATAGAAACAAATATATATTTTTTAATTTTTTTTTATTTGAACGCTTATAAAGTGATTAGAAACAAAATATAATGTTTAAAAAATAACATTTACCTAACATACTTTATAACAAAAAAAAAAAAAAATGTTAATCACATTCACTTACTATTGAATCTTTTCAATGTTTAATTTAATTTTAGAACTAAATAAATATTAATAATTATACTTATATAGCGTCTCAACAGATGGAAGAGTGATCCTTGTGGTGAKATGGAAGGGAAGTGGTAAAATTAATTAACAAATTGTTTGAATGCTTAAGTATTTGGTTTTTATTGAATTGAAACTCTGTTAACTGTTAAATGTATTATTGGAACTAGAAATATAGTCCAGCCTTCAAACTTAACCGTTGGTGCTCAGAAAAGTATCAGATTACTCGAATATTTTCTAAGCACCAAACTTATTCGATTGAAATATTTTGAAGTCCAAATGACAATTTCAGAAGGGTGACTGACGTGAAGGTGCTTGTACTGGGTCTTTAAATTCACGTCTGAATTTGATCTATTCTGGTCTCTCCTATATAGGCCTGCTTCTTTGTGTCGCCTCTTCTAACAATAAGATAATAATAATCCTATCCCCGTAATTATCGTAAAATGCGTATGTGTGCGTTTCCAGGAAACAGCAACATCACACGCTCGCGTGGTCTCCATGTGGCTGTATCCTGTAATTCAGAATTCATAATGCGTTATCTGATTATAAGCATAAAATTATTATATATGTCTATCTATCAATGTAATTTTATGTATTTAAATAACGTCATACTATATCTAATATTTAATATATTATCTTCAGAGCACGGTTCAATCATTTTAGTATGTACTGATGATTTCCCAATTTCAAGCTACCCTTTATGTTTGTTCTCAAAATTACAATTTTCATTTTCTCTTAGGTATTTCTATCCGATCCACCCGTGCCATACGAGTGTTACCCAAGGTTATTGGCTGGTATAATCGTATAATCTAATGTTAAACATGTATATATATATAAGCAGGACGTCAGTACATAACAAATATTAAATATATATGGAAAAAAATGTTGATAACAGATATTTCAAAACACAACTTAGCTACTTCAATAACATAATCACATCAGCGTTTACACAATTGGATACGTATCTTCTTAAAGGAGTTCAGGCAGACTTTAAAATAGTTAATACTAGAATTGACAACTATTCCTACTCACTCAATATCTTGTCTAATCTAAAAAATACTCAAATCCCTCCGCCACTACCATCTCGAACTCTTGACGTCTGCGTATAATTTATTCACTACACTATGAGATGCAATAAATTATTTTATTTAGTTACCAAAGTACCTATATTATAAGCTTATAACTGTTATTAGATTATAGGCTAAATAATATTATAAACTCCTTGAAAGTTTTCAATTTATGTGTGGATTGCCATTATAGCATAAATTCTCTTGAGGAGAATGTAGTAGGTAGGTACTTAAAGGTAAGAAATAGTGAATTAAATTCTCCATRTTCAAATGTGAAACGTTTGTTACAGGGAATTGGTTGATCGACGTATAAAGTTTTAAACGAACAATTTAACCGTCAACCAACCTCTACTGTTCACAATTTATTAGGATTTAGTCCACACAGTAGGTAGTTTGTATTAATTTTAATTTATATTTCGTAGCAAGTAACAACCTTGGCAGTKAACTCTGACGAAACTTTGTTGCATTCGCTTTGCGATATTGTGCATGTAATTAAAAAAATTAAAAGTTTTTGTTTTTAACACACGCCTGCTTTCAGTCGATGAAATCTTTTTAATTTATTATAGATAATTGCACTTACAGYGTTTTATGAGCAATAGATGCCTTATACGGTATAAGTTATACCTATAATTACTGTTTATATTTATGATTTCTTGTTGAAGTGTTATAGTGTTATAACAGAAATTATAAAGCATATTATACATAAAATCATTCGATTTTTTTCTTAAGTTTTGAAGTAGGTAGGTTCCTAGGTGCCTAGTAGGTAGGTACCTCATACTGTATCAGTTATTAGTAAAATACATGTTTATAAGTTTATAACAATGATATTAATCTTAAAAATTATTTAAAAAAAATAATTATAAAATAGAAATATTTGTTAAGTCATAATTTTCAGAACAATTACATGCTTAGAAAGGGGAAACAAATTTCAAAAAAAATAACTCTGTATACTGCTGTAAAGCTTAATATCCACARRTCACTCATTAAGTTATACAAAAAACACGTTTAAAAGTATACTTTTTATATGTTCGTATGCGAGCATACTACCGTTGGACCCCACACGGCTCCCATCTATTGTTTGCTTATTTCGAAATAGCTCCCATCAAAAAAGGATTTACGAACAGGTTAATTCCTAAACGGCTCCAATATTTTTACAGCACAAATTCTTTCTCACTTTATACATAGTTAGGTCTGTCTTAAAAGAGGCGTGGTTAAAAATGTCTTGTAGTAGTCTGAGTGAATTATTATAATTATATAAAAAAAAGCTTATATTTAAATTTTTAATTTTTAATGTTAAAAAAATATTTAAAAATATGTAAACAATGTATGTATGGATACAAATATAAAAGAATTATACATATCGAGTAAATTTGTTAGGCGCAATTATTTTATGTAGATCRTGTGAGTGCTATTTTATTTGATGAAAACTCGTAAAAGATTTATTCAATGAGCCTTTATTTTTTTTTCGATCTCGGTGTAATAAAACGACTTCAAGCTTTAATTTGTGTTTCAGAATGTATATTGGTTTTTCGATATTATCAATATATCCTATATTTTTGGTATTCCGTTTTATAAATTTTAAATTTAAAAATATCATTCACAGGAACTGTATATACTATAGGTATAACAACATCATTACGAGGAGCGTAATAAAACGCGCAGTTATTATGTAGGCTATTTTGGAAGACAAGCGGCCATAATGTCCAATAATTATTGGGGCGTTGACCAGTTGCCCCATCCGCTGTTATCGGGATTTTTAAAATATACCAGTTGCCTTCGACCAAAAGTACCAGTTGCCCTCAACAAAATGTATCAGTTGCCCTCACATGTTAATATATACACGATTACAATATATAGCCTGTAAAATAGGGAAGGTAAATATACAAATAATAAATATAATTATTTATAAAAATAATGTAAAATAGTATAAAACGATAAAAAAAAAAAAAATCATAATAGATATTATAGAAAATTATAGAAAATATTCATATGCTTATAATAATTAAAACTGGTACATTTTGCTCTAGGTAGTTTGGGGGGAATTGATATAAAAAAAGGTACTTTTGGGGGAAACTGGTACATGCCCAATTATTGTAGAGTAAAATTATACGGTTATACTTGTTCGTAATACTTTTTTTGATGGGAGCCATTTGGAAATAAGAAAACAATAGACGGGAGCCGTTTGGGATCCGACGAAAAAAAAATTTAAATAAGGTCATGCTCTATTTGCGTCCTGGTATACCTTTTTTAAAACCTAATTGCATCCCAAAAACTATATTGATCCATCTGCGAAGTTTGTGGTACGCAGAACACGGTTAAACACATCATAACATAATGTCATCTTTACGAACAGAAACTCTCGATGAAATACTTGGACCAAACCCGGATCAAAATATGAAAATCATAAAATTTTTAAAACTAACCAATCTATTCTAGATAAAATGTACTCGTAATAGTTAAAAATGTAACATAATGAAACTCCACAATAATTTTAAATAATAATTAAGACACTCAACTAATGGCCCTTATTACCGAGTTGTATTTAAATATATATGYATATGTTACRTACAATGTCCGGAATTGTACATTTCGAAATTTGTACAGTGATTTTTGTACACATTGCGAATTGTACAATGCTGCTATACAAAGTAACTAGATTGTACAAGTTTCATTATACAATTCGCGATGTGTACAATAATCACTGTACAAATTTCGAAATGTACCTTCATTGTTCAAATCACAAGTTTACTGCTAGTTTTAAAGTTTTAATTATTATTAACAAATAAATAGAAATACTGGATATTTTAATATGAAGTTATCAAGCCAATGGTCACGTAGTTACCGAGGCTATTTCCTTAATA